TACAGGCACCACTAATTGCCATTTTGTAGAAACCTGAACATCTGTTTTTGTAAGTTTTTCCCCTACTATATCTTTAATACATATTTTTGTTGGTATGTTTGAATTCCCCATTGTATTTACTATAATACCTCTCACATAGTGGGCCATCAAAAATATTCAGTAAATGGAGTTGGAGTCATGCCAAATGCTACCAAAACTGCCTTTTATAGACTAAGTACAAAGCTACTTTGTATTCATTCTGTGCGTTGTAGCAATGGACATTCATTTTCCTATGGACCATGTGCAGCATAGCAATCTTGATGTCTCATCAAACTTGTTCAAAGGAGAATTTACCTGTCTGTACATGTCTGTGCATGTGTAAGTCTTTTGTTTTGGAAAATGACAGTGACTGCGATTGCTATCTACAAATCACTTAGATGACTGCTATAAAGTTAACAATCATTTCTACATTGTATCCACAAAGATTCCCATTTGATTTTATCCATTGTGCTGCCTGCTCTTTTCATCATAGACTGTGATGTGCCATTTATATTTGCTTTCAGGCAGAGTATTTTATGAAACCCTGAAACATCTCTTGTCTCAGTAGCTCCTAATGATGCCCAGTTCATTCATTTACTAACTCTCTGTAGAGCATCTGCTAAGTTCCAGGCACTGTGGGGCTTTGGTGCAATTTGGGTGTCCGTGAATTATAAGCATTGTCTTGATTCTTCATGTGGACCCTTAGTTTTTGCTTCACTTATGCAGAAATCTAAATTCTTATAACAACAACCCAATAATTCAGTGGATTGAAGACAGTTTCTCTCACTTTATGGTCTAGGATGGGCAGGTGGGCTCCACTGCTCCATGTGGCCATTCAGGGATCCAGCTTCCCTCCTTCTTTTTTGTAATTATGGCCCTCATTGCATGGTCAAAGGTGGATCATAAGTGCTTCCCTGTTCCCATTCATTGTAAGGAAAAATGGGAAGGAGACTGAAAGTGCAAGGAAGGGACTAGGACTTACGATTTCTGCTCACACTCCATTAGCTACACCTAGATGCAGTGGAGCTGGGAGACGGTAGTGCTAGCTAAATGACTGCATGCCCAGGTACAACTCACTGTCCTGGAGAAAGAGAAGGTTGAACACTGAGCAGTGTAGGACAATGGCTTTTACCATCACTCCCTCAAAGTCATTTTGAAGCCTCTCTTTTGAAAACAAAAATTGGTATTTCTTTTTTTTTTTTTAAGATTTATTGTATTTATTTGAAAGCCAGAGTGACAGAGAGGGAGAGAGAAAAAGAGAGAGAGAGACAGAGAGACTGAGAGAGACAGAGAGGAGATCTTCCATTCATTGATTCATTCCCTAAATGGCCATAATGGCTGGTGTTGGGCCAGGCCAAAACGAAGAGCAAGGAGTTTCAACCAGGTCTCCCACATGGATGGTAAGGTCCAAGTACTTGGACCATCTTCTGTTGTTATCCCAGGTGCACTAGCAGGGAGCTAAATTGGAAGCAGAGCAATGGGGACTCAAATCTTGCTCTGATATGGGATCTGGCATCACAGGCAGAAGCTTAACCTGCTGCACCATGGCACTGGCTCTAGAAACAGGTGTTTTGATGACAACTTCTCTGAAAGTTTATGTAGGCCCTGAAAACATTCCCTTGCTTCCCTATTCTTGCTGTAGCACCTTCCCTTCTCCTTTTATCCCATTTTCCTGGTCTCATATCTAAGTCCTGACCCCAAGCCATCCCATTTCTATCACATCTCATCATCCTTGGAATTTCCTCTCAGAAATCTATTACTCTTAAAGTTAACCCCTATACAGTAGGATACTTTAATGAAATGATTACTGAGATATTAATTTGTGTACTTGTTTTCTTGCCATTGAAAAGTATGAAAGAGTGAATGAGGCTTATGATTTGTTTAGGGTCTATTTCCTGAAGATAACCAGGCTCATCCTTCCCTTGCCTTGAGTAGGGTCAGGGGTCAAAGTTGAAGACAGAGGTTGCCTGATGCTTTTTTTGTCAATAGTCTGAGTTCAGGGACAGGACTGTGCAAAGCCAGTTTTTCTCAAAATGTGTCCTTGCATCAGGTTACCTGGAGTTCAGACACTTATTGCTCGGCCCTTGCGTCAGACATTCTGATGTAGCTGGTCAGGGGCAGGGCCCAATGATGTACATTTCTAACGAGCTCCCAGGTGATGCAGAGCCAGGTTCAGGCTGGTGCTTGGAGAACACTGTGATAAAGGTAAGATGGGCAACAGTGCCCCTGACTTCAGGGACCACGTGGGTTTTGCTAATACAAATGACAAAGAAAACCAAAGCCCTGGATGGGACACTTCTCACGCCTTTGCAATGCTCTCTTCATGAGACTTCCAGGAACATCTCATCACCTGGCAAGGGGGCCTGGTAGTCCTGAGACTAAACTTCCCGACATACTGGCTGACCAAGACGTAGATGAAGACTGAACTTTGTTTAAATCAAGAAGCAGAATAATCTCGCACACCTGGATCTCCAGTGCTTTGCAAGTTGCTAGCCAGGAATTGGCATAGGGCATTAACCTTTCTTTGTACCTTTAACTTATTCCAGGGCCACAGGGAAACTACCTTGAAAAGTCACTTGGTAGCCTGTGATTTGGCTGTGGAAGAGGATTGTGCCCATGACTCTGACCCTCCTCCTGTGAGAACCCACTATATACAGGTGTCATGTAGGGAAACCAAGAGATGACCTGGTACCCAATTCAGCAGCCCCCCAAGTGCCCTGGACACTGGGACTATGCTTGACTGTATCAGTACTTCATAAACATTTTCATTTGAGCAACAGTTATCAGTTCCCCGATTCTTCCAAATGAAAAGCAATTTTGTACACACCAAGATGTTTAAAAACGATCTTCTGGATCAGAAGTATTTCCCCCCTCCAAATATTATAAGCAAAGAAACACTTCCAGTTTTCATGCACTTAATGAAATAAAGTATTTTCTGGAAAACATTTCCAGGAAAATCTCAAAAAAAAGCTGGAGTATTCCATAAAATGTTTTGTTCTGTGCACCTCAAAATTATACTTCATTTTGGTTATGGCTGGTTCTGTATTGACTAAAGCTCCAAGCATAGCCAAGAATAATGTCTATTTTCTGAGTTATTTTGGGGGCATTTTCAAAGAAACATAGAAGGAGAAGGTCACTGTATTTGAAGGAGCTGACAATGGAAAGAGAAGATGGTATAAATAAGGCTTAAATACTTATCAGATATTGACAGCAAGACTAACCTCTGTGAATGAAAATGGAAAATGTCCCCATTATAAAAGCATGGTGTTCACTCTGGACCATTAATTCATATCCTGCTGGGTATAGACCACATGACTAGTTGATATAAGATCTGCCAACTTTAGTCTTGTACTAAGCTTTATGTTACCCTTATAGGGAACACAACTGCTCACTTTCTGCCCATATATGAGTTGATTTAGGTCACATATTATATGCCGCTATTAATTGTCACATAAATTGACTACAATATGCAGGACACCTTCCAAAAGGCAACATTATTATTTATCTACTTGTATAGATTGGGCCCAATACATTTTTGGTAGCTACAAAACAATCAAATGTGTAAATATAACTACATACCATGTACTGGCATTGCTTCACATTTCTCATTTCAAAATGAACCAGGAACATTAGCAGCTTCTGATGTTGTAAAGCCATCATTGACTGTGCAAAGCCAGTTTCAAATATGAAGCTACAGAAAAGGAATGCCGTGTGTGGGAGCCATTTCCAAGTCAGCTGAATAATCACACTCTATCCACTGTCGTTTTAAATTCTGCTTTTTTTTATGAGAGTGCAGATAGTTCTCATTGTGTCATTGTATTACAATGTAAGGAGTTCTTAAGACACTGTGCTAGGAGCTGTACATATATTTCTCATTTAATTCTCTCAGCGTGCTATGACACAGATACTACTGTTATCCTCATTTTGTGGATGGAGACATCAAGCTCTGAGAGGTTCAGCTGGTCAGCTGAGGATCTGGGAATTGCAGCACTGTAGTTCTGCACCAGGTTTTGGTCCCTGAACGGCCAGGCTGCCTTCACAGAGCACTGGCTGATGTATCACCTGATTCCTCAGGTCTTTGTTCCTTCCTAGCTGGTATGCACATGTGCACATAGTTCCAGCTACACCTCTCCTTTTCCGCTTATTCAGGGCCTCCTCCCTTATAAACTGCCTCCCTTCCGTCCCTCTGGCCAATAACAGGGAGAAGCCTACCACGAGTAACAATAAGTTAGCTCTCCAGCAGGATGCTGTATTCTCAGGCACCTGTCTCCGCCGTGACCACACTGCACTCCAGGTTGAGTCCTGCACTGTGAAGCCATGTAACTTCCCACTGGATGCGCTTCTCAAGTGCCATCTGTGATCCTGGCACTGTGCTTTGTTTTCTCATGGTGAGCAATACAGAAAATAAGTAAAGATGCATAAATGGCATTATAAATTATGATACGTGTTCTAAAGGCTGCAGACCTCTGTTTCTGAGTACCTGACTGTTGACATCCTCACCCTGCTCCGCTCAGATTCATGTGGTGAAAACCTAGTCACTGCAGTGATATATTAAAAGGTCAGGCCTTGGGAAGCTGATCAGTTTGTGGAGGTGAAGTCCTCATGAATAGGATTACGGCTTTTGTAAAAGGGGCCCCAGAGAGCTGCCTGGACACTTCCACCGTGTGAGAACACACTAGACGGTACCACCTGTGAACCAGGAAACAAGCCCTCACCAGCCACCCAACTCGCTGCGGCCTTGACCTTGGTCTTCCCAGCCTCCAGGTCTGTGAGAAAGAGACTTCTGTTGTTATACACTGTCCAGTCCATGCTATTCTGTAACAGCAGCCTGAATGGACAAAGACCTGAGTGTATTTTAAAAAAAAAAAAAAAGGAAAAAAAATTTGGAAAAAAGCCAAAAAGAAAACTGCATGCCATTTTTTCTTGTTTTCTTTTTTTTTTTTAATTTATTTTATTTATTTAAAAGAGTTACAGAAAGAGGTAGAGATAGAGAGAGTGGGGTCTTCCATCTGCTGCTTTACTCCCCAAATGACTGCAACGGCCAGAGCTGAACCAATCCGAAGTCAGGAGCCTTTTCTGGATCCCCCACATGGGTTTAGGGGTCCAAGCACTTGGGCCATCCTCCGCTGCTTTCCCAGGCACGTTAGCAGGGAGTGCTATTGGAAGTGGAGCAGCCGGGACTCAAACCGGCGCCCATATGGGATGCTGGCGCTGCAGACTGGGGCTTTAACCCCCTGCGCCACAGCACCAGCCCCTGCATGCTGTTTTAAAATCATACTAGACTGGCGGTTCTCAAAGGAGAACAATTCTGTTCCACAGGGACATTTGCTGTATCTGGAGATGCATTTTGTTGTTACGGCTGAGAGGGGAGACACTCCCTGCACCTGATGGGGAAAGGCTAAGGATGCTGTGGCTTGCCAGAGTGCGTGGCACAGCCCCTGACAACAGAAAGTCAATGTATCATAATTTATAATGCTAAGATTGAGAAACCCTACACTAAGGAATTGTCTATTAAGGGTCCTCTGATGCTCCCAGTGACTGTAACATTGTTCAACTTTCTTTTTAGATCTAACATTCTGTAGAGATGGATATTAACTTATAGATGATTGATAAGCAGCAGCTAATTTCTGACTAGTACAAAAGCTTTATTATCCTAATAGTCATTGATCTTTTTTTATGTAACTTTGCAGTCTTATTCCAATGTTCCTCTTTTCTCTGAGTGCATTTATGAGTAGAGTCTCTGCTGAGCATTTGAGGCAGTTATGTTCTATAAAGTCACTGAGAACTCTAAGTTTGTCTATCTGGAACTGTTGTTCCTAAGGAAATTCAAGGTTAAGTTCCTGCAAGCTTCTGATCACAGCACTTTTGTCAGTTGACTAATGCCTGACCTTATTGTATGTGAGTTTCTCTTTAAAGACACCTTTCTATCTTGTTGATTCATTAACATCAAACTCATAACCAGCGGAGCTATAACTCAGGGCAAAACAGAGCTTCCTGAACACAAACTTATCTTCTCTAAAAGGCACATCATTCCCCTCTTAGGTGCAAGAGACAACTTCAGAACTCTTCATGGGTGCCATTTTGAACATGGACATCCTCAAGAAGAACACAGAAATGTGGCATGAAGTAAACCATGAAAAGGACATTTTATTTTTTTTAAATTAAGTAACTAATTTAAGAGAGAGAGCTCCCAGTTACTGATTCACTCCTTAAATGCCCACAACAGACCCTTGACTTGGCAGAATTCCAGGAACAGGGAAGCCAGCACTTGAACCATTACTGCTGCCTCCAAAGAGGTGTTCCTTTTTGACAGGAAACTGGCGTCAAGAGCAGAGCCAAGGGGCCGGCGCTGTGGCGTGGCAAGTAGAGCCACCGCTTGTGGTGCCGGCATCCCATGTGGGCACTTTTTCGAGTTGCGGCTGCTACGCTTCTGATCCAGGTCTCTGCTGTGTCCTGGGAAGGCAGTGGAGGATAGCCCAAGTGCTTGGGCCCCTGCACACATATAGGAGACCCAGAAGAAGCTCCTGGCTCCTGGCTTCGGATCAGTGCAGCTCTGGACATTGCTGCCATCTGGTGAGTGGACCAGAAGATGGAGGACTCCCCATCTTCTTTGCCTTTCAAATAAACAAATAAATCTTAAAAAAAAAAAAAAAGAACAGAGCCGGGTACTGAACCAAGGCACCCTGATATGGGATGTGGGTACCCCACCCACTAAACTAAGCACCCACTCCCAAAGGACAATCTTACAGACTGAGAGCTGAGATAAGAATTCAAAGGATTGTCTGGTTAGACCTCAGCTGAGAAGTTATGAGCTGATCAAACTAAATATTTTTCTGATCTGCACATGACCTCTGCAGGTCTTTAGAAACTCTTATGTGGCCATGAGAGGGTTTTGAGTATTGCTTTTGGTGTTACAAACTGAGTATGGTAAGTAGACACAAATACAGAGTACATTCTAAAATACAAAATTGTTGAATAATGAAATGTTTTCGTTTCTAATATTCTTTTTTTTTTTCTTATTTGAGACACAGATGCTGAAAGAGAAACAGGCAGACAGAGATCACACATCTGCTGGTTCACTCTTCAAATACCTGCAATGGCCAGAGCTAGGTCAGGCCAAATCTAGGGGCCTAGAATCAATCCAGGTCCCCTATTCAAATGTCAGGAACTCAACTACTTGAACCATCACTGCTTCTTCCCAGAGTCCACATTAGCAGGAAGCTGGACTCAGGAGTAGGAGTCAGGACCCAAACTCAGACACTCGGGTATGGGATGTCAGCATCTTCACCAGCATCTTAACTGCTGGGCTGAGCACTTGCCACTCCTCCTCTTTGTGAGCCAACTTCTCAAACTGTTAGCTTCTTCATTACTCAATCAGTAAATGCTTGACACATGTTCACCAACTTTGTATGAAAGTTTTATTTTTAACTTTTGGAAAATCAAAATAGAAAATTAAACATGTCTCTGGCGTGAACATTTGTTCTCCAGGCATAACAAATGCCCATTGCCTTGTGGTGTTTGGCAGCAACAGCTCTTCCAGGTTTATTTTAGTGACATGAGTCCCGGCCACGTTTGGCTGGAGCCAAATGTGGCACAGAACTCACTGTCCTCAGAGCCATCTCTCCCTCCAAGGCTTCGGGGCTAAGCTCTCATACCTGAATCTGTTTCCCACAGGATGAGTTCTCCTTCAGGGGCTCTTGGTCCTCAGGCAAACAGGGGGCTACTGAGCACACCCCACGCCTCTCAGAAGTGCCAGACTTAGCTGAATCACAAGCTAAGGATCCTAGAGATGGGTGGAAAGCTGGTCTTTGGGTTCATAGCAGCATGAAGTCAGGAAAGTGTTGATGGGGTTAAACCTGAAAGAATTCTTAGGGGAAATGTTCTCTTCAGGGTGAATCTCCTGCCCACTGAGATAATCTTCCAACCTAGAGCTTTCTGGAACCTAAAGCAGTAAGAACAAGGCCCTGTGGCAAAGTAAACATGTAGCTTCCCCAGCATGTAGTTGAGAGGAGCAGGTGCACCATACAGTGCTTGGGAGACTGCATCTTGTAAGGCACAGTGCGTAGGTTTGAGTCCTGGCTCTGCTTCCACCTCCAGCTTCCTACGAATACTCACCCTGGGAGGCAGTGGGCGATGCTTCAGGAACTGTGTCCCTGCTGCTAACACGAGAGTCTCATGGGAGTAAATTCCTTGTCTACTCCAGCACATGGGAGCTCTCTTTTTTTATCTTTTAGATAAAATGAAAATAAATTTAAAAATCTAAAAAAAAAAAAAAGACCCATGACTTCTTCATACCTGGAATCATACATGCTTTATTCTTTCATGCTGTCATACATTTAATGCCTAGGGAGTTTTAAATTTTAAAAATGGTATTTGAAAAGCTCAGCAAGCACTGTAGTAGTGCCTACCTTTTCCCTTGCCTGTTCCCCTCCAACCCCATCTACCTCTCTGCTCCCCTTCCCTTCCTCCCTCTTTCCAGACCCTGTAGCAACCCAAACCATCTCTATAGCCTTGACCAGGAGGGATTTTGATCCCCAGAACACATTTGGCGATGTCTGGGGACATTTTACACACATGGAGAGTTAGATCGGGAGTAGCCCAAAATATCCATAGTGCCAAGGTTCAGAAACTCTACTTTACCCAGGGGCCAGCAAACTTTTACTGTACTGGGCTGGAGAGTAAGGATTTTAGGCCACAGTCTGTTGTAGCTCTCAACTCATTATGTGAAACCAGAAGCAGACAATGTGTAACAATACAACTTTATTACTCACTTTGAAACTTGAATTCTGAATAATTTTCATGTATTACAAAATAATCTTCATTTGATTTTTTTTCTAATGATTTAAAATTACAAAAACATTCTTAGCTTGTAGCCCATACAGTAACAGATGGCAGGCATGATTTGGTCCAAGGTCCCAGTGAACTAGAAAGCTTTTTTGCTTCCATCTATTCTAGAAGAAGCACAGTGTTTCCATTGAGCAAAACTATTTATTCATTCTCTCTCTTTTTTTTTTTCACTTACAGCATTTTAAAGTCTGATTTGAGTCGTGTGTTAAACACCAGTGATTCAGCTAAGAAGAGCTGTGGATGAAGAATGGTCCTTTTTATGTAAGCAGTGATGTTATGTTCTGGTCATTAAGAACTGAATTTTTAATGGTCTCATGGACTGGGGGAAATTATTCTTTTCCTTGAGTGTTTACAGTTTGCTTATTTAATCTTGGTCCTCTCTCTGAGCTTTCTTAGCTTCTGTTGGCCGAGTGCTAGGTTTTCGGAGTGAAGCCAGACCCAATTTTCTGTGGGGCTGAAATTTCATCACGAGCGAGTTCATTCAGATTCTGGGTCATTCACATTTCAAGTCTGCAATTTGATCTGATTATCACCGGCTGAGAAGAAACACTAAGGGCTCTATTATGTGGGCTGAACTGGGTAACAGGTCCCAAGAGTTGGGTCCAAGGGAGAAACTGGGAGTTGGGTAAGCAATTGCTTTCTTTTTACTTCTCAGCAGTAGAGTGTCATGGGAAAGTTTCTCAAATATCATTTTCTGAAGGACAGCTGAAGAAAGCTTGAAATTTTTGCTGAAGAACCAAGAAGAGCGAACATTTCCTAGTACCCAAAGCCGCCAGAGTGGAAAGGAAAGAAGACTGGAGGGGATATGAAAGGGTTATTATGGGACAGGCGGAGGCATGCCTGAGACCCGAGGAGAGTGGAGGTGTGGTATGGTATTGTGCTTCTGAGAGAGAGAGAGAGAGAGAGAGATCTTCCATCTGCTGGCTCACTCTCCAAATAGCTACAATAACTTGGATTTTGCCAGGCTGAAGCCAGGAGCCCAGAACTCCTTCCAGGTCTCCCATGTAGGTGGCAGGTTCCCAAGTACTTGAACCATCTTCCTCTTCTTTCCCAGGGTCATTAGCTGGGAACTGGATCAGAAGCAGAGCAGCTGGGACTCAAATTAGAGCTCCAATATGGAATACTGGTGTTGCAAGTGGTGGCTTAATCTGCTGCACCACAATGCTGGCCCTATCCGGTACGTTCAAAAATACTTGAAAAAACATCTAGGGGCCGGCACTGTGGCATAGCAGGTAAAGCCACTGCCTGCAGTGCTGGCATCCCATATGGGCACTGATTTGAGTTCTGGCTGCTCCACTTCCGATCCAGCTCTCTGCTATGGCTGGAAAAGTAGTAGAAGATGGTCCAAGTGCTTGGGCCCCTGCACTTGTGTGAGAGACCTGGAAGAAGCCCCTGGCTCCTGGCTTCGGATCAGCCCAGTTCCAGCCATTGAGGCCATCTGGGGAGTGAACCAGCGGATGGAAGACCTCACTCTCTCTCTCTCTGCCTCTGCCTTTCTAATAAATAAATAAATCTTTTAAAAAGTAAATAAAAAAGAAAAGAAAAGGCATCTAGAACCCATGAGAGGGTTTGCTACAGGGGCCATATATAAAGTATAGAAAACCCACCATTCCTTTATATTTACATATGGGAAAGAAAGCTGGTCTCCAGGGGGACAGCAGGGCAACCTGGAACCCATGTCTTTCAAGACCTCCAGGCTCAGTGATGTGGAGGACCCGCAGGTTATGTGGATGCCCTTCCCAGTGGGAAACCCACCTCATGAGCTTGCCCCAGGTTCAGAGAAGCTGAAGGCAAAGCTCTGGGATGGACTGGAGTTGTCAGCCCAGCACCTGCTGTGTGTCCACCAACTCTGGCACAGAGTTCACTAGTGGCCACGCCTTAAGCAGACCCACACGGGGGAGCAAGGTCTGAGAAGCATAGGCCCAGCTCAGCTACCTGACCCTGTATAGCAACCACACAAGACCCTATCTCTAGATAATAATAATATAATGACAGATACATAGCGTTGACAACACACTAGTCACTTTTCTAAGTGTTTTATATGTATTAACTCACTTTAATTGCCATTACAGCTCCCCAAAAGAGGTAGATTATCAGACTCATTTTATGAATGAAGAAACTAAGCAGTAAATTTAAATAGCTTGCCTGTGGCCACATAGTTTACAAGTAGCAAAGCCATTGTTCAATATCAGAAAGTCTGGTTAGACTTTTTAAAATGTCAAGTCTCTTCAGATTAATGTATTTTAATATAATCCCAAGTGATATCCTAGTGGACTGAGTGTTTTCTGAGGGATCTTATGAAGCATAAACATGTAGCAACACACTGTAGAAATTCAATAACAAAACCCATTTCCAGAGGAATCAACAAGGACTCAAAGATCGCTCTCGGGGTTGACACTGTGGAGCTGTCGCCTGCAGCACCAGCATCCCATACCAGAGCACTAATTGGAATCCTGCTCCTTTGCTTCTGATCCAGCTCCCTGCTAATGTGCCTGGGAAGGCAGTAAATAATGACCCAAGTGCTTGGGCCCCTGTCACTCTTGCAAGAGACTCAGATGGAGTTTTGGGCTCTTGGCTTCAGCACGGCCCAGCCCTAGCTGGTGTGGCCATTTGAAGAGTGAAGCAACAGATAAAAGATCTCTCTCTCTCTGTTGCCCTTTCTTTCAATCTGCTCTTCAAATAAATAAAATCCATCTTCTAAATAAAAGATAACCTCAACACAACTTAGTATGCAAACACAGAGAAAAAAAAAAAAAACACCTAGAACCAAGCCAGTAGACTGTGAAAACTGTCTCCTGGGAAAGTATCTGGGAGCCCCTCCTCTCCTGCACACTGCGTCGTGACTGTGACATTGTTGGAAACACAGCCAGATGCGCCATTGCATATTTTCTTGCTGCCATCCCTATGAACCTGCCACCTTAGCCTCCTTCTGCCTATACACTTGGGTCCCTTCCTAGCAGGGTAGGCCTCCTAATTTAGCCAACCACTTCTAGATAATACACAAAGTCCCTCGGCCCTGTACTCACAAAGGCAGGAGCGGTCAGGGGCAGGGAGGTCTGACTGGCAGGCACTGAGACAATCTGGCGTTGGCTGTCCTGGCTGTCACAGACGGCAGAGCTGGCTCTTAACCATGCAGGGACACTGCGGGGTTTGGCGGGCAGCACGGGCTGGGGCGATATTCTGCATGGCAGATCCCTCAAGGGCGGAGCTTCTTCACGGGCTGCTTCCTGCCTCTGGCCTCCTCCCCTTTCTCCTAGGGGCTGCCCTGCTCTTTTTTTCATGACTTCTTGGGCAACGTGGAGGGGAGCAAACCCTGTTTGTCTGGGACTCGGGAATTTCTGCGGGTGTGAGACTTTGGGTGTAACCATGGGGACAGTCCTGGGAAAGCCAACATGGTTCATCACCATAGACATTTCTTTAAACAGCACAAATCTGACCTCTCACCAGCACCCTTGTCCACATCTGGCCCCTGAGAAATAAATACTTTTAACCCGAAATCACTTCCCAAACACAGCCCTCTGCTGTCCCTAGTCACTTTGGCCACTCTGTCCCCAGACTTCTGGGGGTGGCTTGACTCAGACTCTGGTCCACCGGATCCACAAAGGCCGTGAACCCACACATCACAACAAGAGTGGCCTCCTGGAGCCTGCAGCTGGGCTTAGGTTGAGGGAGGAGACCACTGTCCCCAAGGTTCCTCCCTTCAGAGTCACCCCAACTCTCTTTAGAGATACTCGTCTCCCTTGGCTGTTTAATGGCCAATCTTTGTTTACTTAATGTTTATTTTTATATATTTGGAGGTGGGGTGTTTCAGTCCACTAGTTCATTCCCCAGATGCTTACAGTATTTGGGTGCAGGGTTAGGGTAGAAGCTGGGAGCCTGGAACTGAATCTGGGTTTCTCACATGAGTGGCAGGGACCCAGTCAGTTGAATCATCATGGCTACCACCCAGGATCTTCATCATCAGGAAGCTAGAGTCCAGAGTCAGAGCTGTAGCTGGGAATCAAACCCTGGCACTGCTACATGGGATGCTCATGTTTTAACTGCTAGATCAAGTACATGCTGCCATTGTCAATCATTTTATGCCTTGTCCTGTGAATTAGCTGTGGGTGGCTACTTTGCCAGGGCTGTTGAAGCACCATACTTGGGAATGTAAGAGCACCCGCCACCTTTTTACTTTTTTTTTTTTTTTTAAGATTTATTTATTTATTTGAAAGTCAAGTTACACAGAGAGAGAAGGAGAGAGAGAGAGAAAGAGAGGTCTTCCATCTGCTGGTTCACTCGCCAGTTGGCCACGATGGTAGAACTGCACTGATCTTCCCATGCGGGTGCAGGGGCCCAAGGACTTGAGCCATCTTCTGCTGCTTTCCCAGGCCAAAGCAGAGAGCTGGATTGGAAGTGGAGCAGCCAGATCTCAAACAAGTGCCCATATGGGATGCAGACACTGCAGGCGGCAACTTTACCTGCTATGCCACAGAGCCGGCCCCACCTTTTTACTTCTTTAATAACCTTTTCAGGCCCCAGAAAACTTGGTGATTGGAAGCATATTAGAGTTTTAGCATTGTGTTTCAAAAAACCATTAATGACAGAAAATTCAGAGCAAGGGAAGATTATGAAGCATGCAAACATTTTACTAGAGTCATAGAAAAGTTAACATTCTGTACATCAAAAATCATATGCAATTATAAAAGTCAAATGACAGCCAGGAATATATTTGCAACAAAATGACAGGAGGCTAATAAATGTAATCAAGCATATTTTTTAAAAATTTCTGCAAATAAAGACTAGAATCCATATCTCACCACCGGGATCTCCACCTCTCCTGTCCAAGCCACTCTTGCTAGTGTTCTGGCCGGGAAGCAAAGGGGGTTAAGCTGAAGGACACCTCTCTTGTCTCCCAATGCTCTACTCACCACCAAGCAGTTGGAATGATCCTTCAAAAATGTGAACAAGATGACATCACTGCTCTGTCTGGACTTAATTTGTGACTTTCCATTACATCTAGAATAAAACCTGAAGTACTTGCACACCATGAATAAGAAGATGACATGCCACCTTGTGCTAGTTGCATTCCTGATCTTGTAGCCTATCCATCTGCGAGGGACGGACTCTGTTTACGGCTAAGACTCCATGTTTAGAACAGTGCCTGTCACTGAGGAGGTACTCACTCAATGGAATGAACAAACTAGTGGACAGAGAACTGGGGGAGAAAGACCAATGAAATATGTAGAGATGTTTTCTTTTTAATTTTAAAAATTTCGTTT